ATTTCAAATCTTCATATCAATTTAGGTTAACTTAAACCAGCGGTTCTCAACCTGTGGGTTGCAACCCCTCTGGGGGTCGAACGACCCTCTCACAGGGGTCGCCTAAGACCATCCTGCATATCAGATATTTACATTACGATTCATAACAGTAGCAAAATTACAGTTATGAAGTAGCAATAAAAATAATTTTATGGTTGGGGGTCACCACAACAGGAGGAACTGTATTAAAGGGTCGCGGCATTAGGAAGGTTGAGAACCACTGGTCTAGAGAAACACTATACAAATGATTATACTGGTTTCTGAGCCTTTGAGAATGACAGTGATTGGAAAGGAAAAACAATGAAGGAGCAATAATAAGAACTGGGTGTCTAACCTGGCTCTACCACTTTTCCAACCATGTGACTTTGGAAAAGTCATTTGGCTTTCCTGAGCTTTGATATCTTTATCTGTAAGACAGGGATACTCATACTACTTGTCTATGATATAGCAATGACAACCCAAGGTCAAATGCTATACAAATAAGGTGGTTATCATTACACTACATAAATTAATGCAGTGCCTGCTATGCCATCAAAGATCAATGATGGCAAAGATCAGATGGCAAATACTACCTAACTAGTATGATTTTTAAAACTTCATTTTCCATGTTTCATCTTCTTTACGTGAACACATAGAACTAATACTCACTTACAGTGATAGAGCTAATTTTGTGTTCTTATAATAGACTAGAGGCCCAATGCATGAAATCTGTGCAAGAGTAGGCCTTCCTTCCCCCAGCTGCTAGTACCGGCTTCTCTCTGGCACCCAGGACCCGGGCTTTCCTCTGGCCCTGGCTTCATCCGGAAGGATGTCTGGTCTAATTAGCATATTACCCTTTTATTATTATAGATACTACTTCTTATGACCTTACTAAATGCCAGGCACTTTATAGACCTCATCTCATTTCATCCTCAGCACAATTCCAAGGTGCAAGTATTATTACTTCTAGAGATGAGGAAACTAATGCTTAGATGTTTTAAGTAACATGCTCGACATCACCCAGCTAGTGAATGACAGCCAACATTTAACTTCAACAAATCGGTGGAGCTTAGCCATTACATGCCTCTTTCTGTGTCACGAGTGCTCCGAAATTTGTTCATCCACAATAGTTACCAATGCTAACGTGCTTACCTGCGGGCCACCCTCCCTGCTTTTCTTCTGATACGCTCTTCTTTAACATCAACAAAGACCCTGCTCTGGTCTGCTCTACAGAAATAACATCCGAAGCCGCGTTCAGCACTTCAAACATGGACAGGAACCCATACTGCATGTACTGGAATGATCGTCCAAATCGCTTGGCAAATGCCTTTTCGAAATCAGACAGGAGAACAGGAGATAATGCCAGCAGGTCCTTCAACTCACTCTTCACAACAGCTGGAAGGATAGGGGGCACCCTTCCTCGGTAAGGTACTCGGTGGTGAAAGCTTGGCCCAGAGCAAACACTGGCCCTTCCCTTCTGCATGGAGTTTCGAACCTTATGACTGCTCCTTTGTTTTGCAACTAAACTTGCGATTCCTCTGGTGGATTCATCTGGAATGGCTGAAGAGATGAACAAAGAAATCATATGTAGGTGAAAACTTACTCCCTTCATTATCCTTTGTATCTGTGGTTGTATAGTCATTTTTTTTTAACTCTCCGTGTAGATGTGTCTCTGGATAACATGATAAATATGAACCCCTGGTTCTTTTATTTTTTGCATTTTGGACAACAGCTTATTAGTTCCTCTACCAGAGGATGAAGAGAGAAAGGTAAAATCCAGTATGTCATTATTACTGCTAATTGGCTCCTTGAAAGGTTTGAAAATCTTGAGATGAACAACAAACTTCCCCTCGATTTTGTATGTGTGTGTGTGTGTGCGCGCTATGTGGAATTAAAAAATATGATTTTATAATTTAAAAAAAGTCCCATTGCTTCTCCCAACGAAAGGGGCCATCATCTGAAATCATATGCAAAAATGCAGTTTTTGTCAATGTACATTTTTTTTTGGGGGGGGGGGTTCTTAATTTTGTGAAAGCTCTAACTTAGCCCACAACCTCAAAGGTAGCTGCCTATGATCACCTCCTTCCTAACCCCCCACTCCCACCCCAAATGAAAACACCCTGCCTAAGATGCAGGATAACGGCTAAAACTTTACGACGTGGTTACTGATTACAAAGTTTACCTTTCAGTATGACAGTCCCATCCCCGCAGGGGCAGACACTGACAACATCAGGCATGTCCAACACCAGCTCCATGGTGGACCGGTACCCAAGGACTCGCAGGGGCAAGTGGTTGCCAACCATCAACAGGTACTCCTTTTCCAGCTGCTGTGGGGTCAAACCGTCTTTGGTGGAAATGAGAAGCGACCTTATCTCTTTCCTCAGGCATTCCAGAATGCGCTCCTGCTCAGACATGGCACCCTTAGGGATTTAAGCCAGAAACACGGCACTTAAGCTTAAAACGACCAGTAAGTGAAATACAAACAAGGGAGTTTTAAAAGTGTTGAAGGCAGCCCTGACCGGTTTGGCTCGGTGGCTAGAGCATCGGCCTGTGGACTCAAGGGTCCCAGGTTCGATTCCGGTCAGGGGCATGTACCTTGGTTGCGGGCACATCCCCAGTAGGAGGTGTGCAGGAGGCAGCTGATCCATGTGTCTCTCTCATCGATGTTTCTAACTCTCTATCCCTCTCCCTTCCTCTCTGTAAAAAATCAATAAAATATATATATTTTTTAAAAAATGTCGAAGGCAGAGGCAACATCATGGGACGCCTCTGAAACTTGCGCTTCGCCAAGCCAGGACCCCCCCTCCCCCACCCGCAACTCAAACTCAAAGTCTCAATAAACCTCCAACAGGGTTGATTTCACCCACGTGTGTCTCCAGGAATCTCTGCCAGTGGCCCCTGTGTGCGAGGTCCCGAGTTCTGCAGCCTTAACTCGGGTCTCCCTAGAGTCCCTCCACTCGGAATGGACGCTGGGAACCAGGACTGGGAACGAGGCCCACGCCACGCCGCCTGCCCTCGGGATAAAGACACTCTCACCCCGGACACTTTCTCCAGCCCAGACCCTCCAGGGGCTC